GCTTTCACTTCATTATCCTGACGAAGAATATTTCGAAGGAGTCAACCGTCTACAAAAAAGACATAATAAGGTATACTTCACTCAAGAAACAGCTGATGTACTTACTCATTGGAATTTTCGGACCGAAAACCCAAACATCGCCATCAACATGGATGCATTACTAAGGAAACAATCAGACCTCGGTGCAGATATAGAGCGCCTGATAACTAATTTTAAAAAGGACTCTAGTATCCGGAAGCAGGATTCTACATACTACGAAGACCGATTAAAGAAGCTAAATTCCCTACGGAATAATTTTGAAATGAATGATGTTGAAGTCAAAGCATTGCCACAACCAGAACTCGAACACGAGTATTTCAGTGCAGTCAAATATGAAACCACAGGACGGGAAGCCAGTAGTTAGTCCAAGAGGGACCAACAATGCTACAACGTTAATGCGAAACATTTAAAAGCATATATGAGGAAAGTACTGTAAAACACCATCCTAGCTATTATGAATTAAAATGTTCTCTGATAGAAAAATATCAGAAAGATCTGATGTGTAATAATGATGAAATATGGTCGTCAGCCGACGCAGAAGACATCATTGAACTGATCATCTTTTTCCATGTCAGTAAGCAAGCCGCAAGTAGCTGAATTTGATGTCTGATTTTCCACTTTTCCTGACACAATCCAACCAAATACTGTGTTTTGTAACGTTGGTAATTTAGAAGTCAGTCGAACTTTACCTGACATCATTACTTGATGATAGAACTCTGCCCCAAGCAATACATCAATTTTGTCAGGTTGATAAAATTATGATGAAAAAATTCTGGCAGTTTGAAGAAGTAAAGGAAAGAGACACCACATTATCGTTTGCAGATCAGAAATGTGAAACTCATTTTGTAAATAATGTCCAGAAAAATCAAAAGGGACAGTACATCGTAAAATTACCGTTTGCAGAATCCGTGGAAGCATTAGGAGACAGCAGACACACAACGTTCAATCGGTTTTTGGGCTTAGAAAGACGTTTGATAAAGGATCCCAACTTAAGGCAACAATACGTTCAGTTCATGGACGCTTGGTCATAAGACTGAAGTTGATGGAAACTCAGTATTGTCCTCCAGTTATTTTATACCACATCATTGTGTGTTGAGACCAGAAAGCAGTACCACCAAATTACGTGTTGTTTTTGACGCATCAGCCAAAACAACCTCTGGAAAGTCATTAAATGATTTGTTATACGCAGGTCCAGTAGCTCAGAGTGATCTTTTCACTATTCTACTGCGATTCAGACTGCCAAGATATGTCTTTACAACAGACATAGAAAAAATGTATCGACAGATATGGGTTCATCCTGATGACCGTCGATACCAGATTATAATTTGGAGAAGGATTACTAATGAACCGATTAAGTATTACCTACTAAATACAGTGACTTATGGGACTCGACCAGCATCTTATTTAGCAATCAGGTGTCTTAATCATTCAGCCAACGAGTGTCGGAAGGAATTTCCATTAGCATCAAAAGTGTTGCAAGAAAATTTCTATGTGCATGATGGCCTATGGGGATCTGACAGCAAAGGAACAGCAATAGACATGCAACAACAACTTATACAACTGTTACAAGGCGCAGGATTTCGCGTACGTAAATAGTGCTCAAATTATCCGAAGTTACTTCAAAATATACCTGTATCACATCGGGAGGTAGATTTGGATTTTGATTCTGATCAAGCAGTTAAAATTAAAACATTGGCCTCGCATGGTCACCTCAAGAAGACAAGATTAGCATCAATACAGCCACCAACTATGAATCAAAAATTACTAAAAGAATAGTGAGCGCCGATTTGATTAAAATTTTTGATCCGTTAGGACTACTAGCTCCAGCAGTAGTTCAAGCCAAATTATTTATGCAACAAGTTTGAGAGCTGAAATGTAATTAGGACGATCCACTATCCGCCAAGCTGCCTGTTCAGTGGGTTACCTTCAGAGAGAATTTAAAACATTTAAAAGCATTGTAAATACCACGATATGTGTTTAGCACGGAAGTTCCACAAGTCAGTGAACTTCACATATTTACAGATGCTTCAGATAAAGCATATGGGGCAGCAGTATGGGTAGTGAACTTGCAACGAGAGTGAAACATGATTTAAAATATGATAGCAAGGCTATATATTTTTGGTCTGACTCAATGACGGTCCTTTCTTGGATAAACACCGAATCAGCACTACCAGATAAATTCATAACCAACAGAATAGCAGTAATACGAGAGCTGACAACTCCAGATCAATGGCGATATGTAAGCTAAAAAGATAATCCAGCAAATTTTGTTTCACGAGGAGTGTCCCCACAAAAACTGAGCACATGCCACCTTTGGTTTTATGGGCCACTATTTTTACATGGTGACAAACAAAAATGGCCAGTAGCATATGATAAACATTTGAGTATAGATTATGAACACAAAATTGATTTGAAAGAACAAACTACCTCGTTGGTATCAATGACAAAAGATGATCTATACAATTAATCATCGAAATTCATTTAAGGTTTTGAACCGAATAGTAGCTTATGTACTAAGATTCATTAAACAATGTAAAGTAAAAAACCATTAACGCAAATCCAGTATCTTATTAACTCCAGATGAATTAAGTGAGAGTTTGAACATAATTGTCAAAGTAATACAAGATTCAGATTTCAAGGATGGAAGGCGAAAATTGCTGAAATCATATGCAATCAGTCCAAACAGTGTTTTAACTGGACTAGCACCATTTGTTGATATAAATGGGATAATTAGGGTTGGCGGAAGGTTGGAAACATCTTCATTTAGTTATGATGCAAAACAAGGCATTGCCTTATAATGACCCATTGGTTAAGTTGTTGAGGCAGGATACTCACAAGGATAAACTGCATTGTGGACCGCAGACATTGCTAGCACAAGTGCGACAAAAATTTTGGCCAATCAAGGGACGATCCATGGCGAGATCAGTAGTTCAACATTGTAGTGTCAGATTGTACATTGTATAAACAAATCATTGGAAACTTGCCGAGTTCAAGAATAGAACCTGCACGACCATTTCTTCATTCCGGTATCGATTTTTGTGGTCCGCTATTGGTACATTACAAGATACGCGGAAAGCAGCCTCTTGCGGTATTTTGTTGTTTCGCAACAAAGGTTTTTCATCTTGAGTTAGTGATCTCAGTGCTGATACATTTATCGGAGCCCTCAAACGAATTTTAGGAAGGAGAGGTCATTGTAAATTACTCCATTGTGATAATGCAACTAATTTTATAGGAGCTAACAATAAGCTTAATGAGTTATTATCGTCATTACATGCGGCTGAGTCACAAGAAAAAATCATAACGACATGTGCAAATGTTGGGATTCAGTTTAATTTCATACCTCCAAGGGCACCTCATTTCGGAGGACTTTGGGAAGCTGCTGTAAAATCAGCGAAGCATCTATTAATGAAAAGTGTGGCAACAGCATCATTAACATATAAGGAGCTTGAGACAGGTGTAGTTGAAATAGAAGCAATTCTCAACTCTCGTCCATTAACACCCATGTCAAGTAACGCAAATGACTATACCGCACTGACACCAGGACATTTCCTGATTGGTGAACCACTGACATCGACAGTAGATGTGACATCAAATCAACTTCAAGCAGGATTACTCACAAGATGGAAGTTGGTGTCTCACCTAAAACATCAATTTTGGAACCGATGGAGTCAAGAATACTTGACTGAGTTACAACAAAGAAATACATGGAGAACCCGTTGTGAAAATGGTCAGCCAGGAACAATGGTGATCATAAAGGAAGACAATGTACCTGTGTTACATTCGCCGCTGGGAAGAATTATAAAAATATACAAGGGAAATGATGGCGCCATTCGGGTTGCAGATGTGAAAACATCCAGAGGAATATGTAAAAGGTCAATTCATAAATTAGCACCTCTATTGATGGTGGATGAACCAGTCTGTCATGATAAACAAACAAGCCATCTGCCAAAAATAAACTCGTCAAAACTGGAAACACCTAACAAGATTAGAAGAGTAACACGGAGTCAACTTTGTCACAACCATAATGTTGACATTGTTGTTTTTACCCTTAATATTGACCACATCTGTTCAAATCAAGTCATACAATAACCTTGAAAAAATGCACTTCAAACAAATAGGGCATGTCAAAACAATAGTATCATATTGGAATTTAATTGTTTATTATGACTTAAACCGAATACACCAGGAGCTGGCAGCATTAAATAATGGAACAATAGCGATACAACACTTATGCGGTCAATTAAATTATAATTCAAGCTGCACAGCGTTACTAAAATATTTTGAATATGTAAGGGATGAATTAACGTTGGATAATATTGATCCCAAGTATATTCAATGATGTCTTCTGCGTCGCCTGACGACCATATTTCATCAGTAGGTATGACAATCAATGCATCATAAAATAACTTAATAATTGTGAATGATGATGACTTTTTTATAAAACCATGGAACATTATTTCTTGTTTGTGCATGAATGAAGAAATTGTGTAAAAAGCTTCGCATTATTCAATCAATCAGTTTTTTGTGTATTTTTTAATTCTATTATCTAACTTTAAAATTTTTTATTGATTTGTTTTTAGTTTTAAGCTTCCTGTACTTATTTCATTGTAGTAGTTTTTGAATTTATTGAGGAAACTGATAATTACAAGGTTCCAAAATTATATTTTAATTTATAGTTCAGCGATCCATATTTTTAAAAACTTGTCAAATTTAAAATTGCAAATAAATTGAATAATTTCCACATCAAAATGAAGAATAACAAGGTGATGCGAAAGATTTTAAAATGAAAACGGAAAGGAACTGTACTCGGAAAAAGTAGTAATAATGTTTTTAATATTTCCACTTTTTGTTCAAATTAAATGAATGAATGCAATCTTGTGCTCTTATATACTAAAGAAGTATTCTTCGAAAGGAAAGAGCAGAAGAAAAATTGCTATTGTTCAAAAAATAAAATTACTTACAATTTTTTCCATTCGACATTTTTCGTACGCTGGCCCTGCGTTCGACATCATTACGCTCCATTACAGTCATTGAAAGTTTTTCATTTTGCTTTATTTCCTCAGTTTGTTGTGTTGCAATAATATCGCCAGCAACACCAACACCAACATTATCAGCAGGAGCAGCATCAGCATCAGCAGCAATAGTTCCTTGCAACTTTATCGCATCATTATCTGCGGCAACAGATAATTTATCATTCTCAACAGCTAAATCAATTTCACATTCAACCACCTCATGTGATACATTCACGTGTGCTACACTTTTTTAGAGTGAATTCATCTCTGAGATACCACGGATTACAACCATATGTTCGTGCTAAGAATAATTTCTAAACAATCTATTAAACCTACACATTTAAACAAATTTATCAAGTTTTATTACACAAGACTACTCACTCGGATTGAAACCAGATTGTAGGTACGAAGAATATAATTCACAAAAATTTGATCTTATCTGACCCACAAAATCTCTGACGCTGTGCATGAAATTGATTATTTCTTAAATTCAAATAAATTTTTTGATCTCGTACTCAAAGAACCTTAACCAAAAGGATACATCCATAACATCACCTATATCATACTATATGTATAAATTATAAAAGTCATCAATTTAAAACCCATGTATTAAAATTCATCAATTTTAGGAGGATCTTTACGGAACTTATAACGATTCCTTCCGAGCCACTTAAATTCTTTTTAAGTTACGAAAAACTCAATGAAGGATTTTAATGTTAAAATTTATGAACTACTGTTAATTTTTATCTGCAAAATAACATACTTTTTGGAACGCCGGATGATAAATGATCAGAAGTTTAGAATGGGGAGTTGCTTTGAATTTACAAGTAACAAACAAAACCAAGGCAATAAACAAGTCAGAACTACTTAAGAATAATATAAAAAATAATTAGTTTATTTGCTTTTAATATATATTGAAACCATATACATAAAGTATTCATTTAATTCTAAATTGATTCTGATAAAACAACAGTATATAACACCGTTTCCAAGTAAAACGAATTAACTTACAAAATCTCTACTAAGAACACCTTCGACATTGGAAAAAGTATTTGAAAAGCAATTATAATGCTCATATGACACAATTTTTCAATTTCATTAATTTGGAATTATAAAGTACATACGCAGTATTTAATCCGATAAGCTTAAAATATTAAGAGACTAAATAATCTACATACCTATAAACAAATAAGCTCATAAACAACTAAACACTCAGATGGATATCGCAAAATCAGTTTAACCAATTATATTAATTATGAATAGAAATTTATAATATGATCTCCTGTAGCTTCTTCAACTGCTTTACAAAGACTCTTGTTTGTTGGCAATGCAATCTTTGAAGACTGAAGACCCTTCAATCTTTGTGGAGGGTCACCAGTCTTTGATCTTGATTATTTACATTGAATATTCTCATAATTAAAACACTTTCAATTGCTCATAGTGATTTGTTTCAAAAATGGTTCGGTTTTGTTTAATTTAAATGGCGTCGCACTGATGATAAGTTGGTCAATCGAATTTCTTTCCGTTAATTCATATAATACCCCATGTGGTTGATGTTTAGTAACTCGCTATCTCCTGAGAGCTTGCATATACCATAGGTCTTGTTTCGCCAGCTGTATAATTTTATCGATTTTACCGACTGCACGACCAAAACGAGACGCATCTTTGACATCAAAATTTGCGGAACACATACAAGCAAACCACTTCTGAGTCTGGTATCCACACATAGTATCTGCACCATATAAATACCTGCCTGCAGGACGGATACTTTTTATACCATCCATTTCAAATATGAAGACAGCTTACACTTTATAAAATAATTGCATGATTTTCTATTGAAATTTGAAACACAACTTCTATTACTGAACTGAATGTTTATAGAAAACAATTGTTAATATTCTAAAAGTGTAGCGCACAATGACTTCCATAATAGACATACTGCTCTCACACCTTCCATACACCGTATACATATTTTTAATTTTCGTTACTTTCACATACTCACTTGCTGTCTTATCGGAAACATTTTCATTGTCTTTCGCATCATCATCACAGTCATCGTCACCGTTACCGTTGCCGTTGCCGTCACCGTCACTGTCATTCATTGCCATATTGACAATTTCCGTTGATGTTTCCATTTCTTCTTCAGCGTAATACGCAATACGTTCAACTGATCCCACATACATTTCCATGTCAGCTAAAAGTTTTACAACCCAATTCAAGTAGATCGGCACCAAAAGAGTGTAGTTTATGGCCAAGCCAACAAGCGATGGCGAAGGCGAAAAATTTGGTCCAGTTACCATATTTCTTTTATTATCGTTGAGTAGGTTAATGTGGCTACCGTGCGGGAACAGGTTGGCAGCATTGCTGCCACTGCCAGCACCAAATCTGTCAGCGCCATTGTCAGTGTAATTTCCTGAAACCATCATATATTGGCTGCTGCCACTACTATTATAGTTGCTGCAACTTATGGTGGCCACTAACAAAGCTGTCACAATGGCAACAAAAACAATGACACCTCCCAAGTAATCCTAGAACGGTGCGAACAAAAATAAAAATGTTAAAATTAAACAATAAACATAAAGCGAAACTAAAGGACAAAGTCTAGAGAAAAGCAATGCGGAAAAAGGAAAAGGAAAAGGCGCTTGTTAGGTACGTAACAGTAAATTGGTATGCAAAGAAAGTACTTTTTAGTTTTTAAATGGTGCACATGTGTCTTTAATCACAGATATATGCATACACACAATGCCACATCTACACACACACACACACGCACACACACATACATACATACATACATACATACATACATACATACATAAACATACAAATAACACACAACCACAAGAATAAGTAAAAAACTTTTTTACTAAAAGTTTTGCAACTAAACGTGTAACTTGGTTCCTATGTGTGTTGTATTGTCATACCGCACTCCACACTACCGCACTCTTTCCCACATATGGCATAAGGACTCCTGTATGTGCGGTTATGGGCGCCAATATAGATGGCATTTCTGCACCTTTATGGTTGAGTTTATGACAGAAAAGTGTGGCGACTTTAGTTGAAGTAAAAATTTCTTTTCCTCAAAGTTCGTACATCTTAATTATTTTTTAACTGCATTTCAAAATGACTAAAGTTGTAGAAGTTCGACTTATGAAAAATGATGTTGCCAAAGAAAAGTTGAACGCAAGAGTGAAAATATGCTGGCTTTGACCTTCACCAAAACTTTACTGCGAGAAATATTTAAAATTTGTGACTTAAAATCAAGTTTAATTACCTCCAATTGAGAAATTGAGAAATTGAGAAACTGAGAAAGTACGTAGTTTCTTATTATTAATTCCACAAAAAATTTTAAACTTACGAGTATAAGTAATTAGAATGAGTATTTCAGCTAATTAAATTATTACTTATAATTACTTACAAAATGGAAAAATTCAAAAAATGAGCACTCCTTGCTGTAATCGTTTTTTAAACCCAATTATACTAGGTTTACACTTTGAGATTTAAAGTGTATACAAGTAATTATCGACATTGAAGCAATTATCGATAATAAATCAGTTATCGATATCAAAGCAATCATCGACATTAAAGCTTTAATACAGATAAGTCTCTGACATGCCAAATAGCATAAAATCTTCTTGTTAGAGAAAAAGAAGAAAAATATATATTTACAACAATTAAAGAGATTAATTTGTTTTGTCTATGGAATAAATTAATTTTTATATAGCAGAAACAATTTTTGTGTAATAAGATTCCCTGTTAATAACAACAAAACTGAGGAAGCTAAAACGAATTTAAGCTTAAATAAATAATCAAATTAGCCAGGTTAAACAATTAACAGGAGAAAACACCTAACACCTATTATTAGAAGCAATAGAAGTGAATTATGTCGATATCTTAAAACAGAAAGAAAAACCCTTCAAAGTTGTATACACCTATATAATTTGTTATATTTCTGTAGACCTGAAGTATTGAAGATATTATTAATGGCTTTAGTACTCAATATAAGAAGGGTAGCTAATAAAAGAAGTCATAGAACGCTATGGACCGACCTCAAAGATAGATATCAATACAAACATATGTGCTATAAAAAGTTGACGTGCTTGTTAGTCTAAATCAGTCAGAGATCCATTTTGTATGAAATCAGAAAAACAACTACCTTGAATTAAAATTGCATTTCATATTTTCATTTAAAAAATATTCAACAGAAATTGCTAGTTACTCACGATTTTTATATTTATAACACAAAACTAACAGTTATTAGTGCGTTTTAAAAAAAAAAAGCAGAATTTAAAGTTACGTTTACGCGAAAAAATAAAAGGCACATAAAATAATTATTTTTGAGGAATATAATATAAAGCAAATTTATTTATTTATTATTTTAAGATGCGAATGATAATAGTTAAAAGGTGATTTTTATTTATTTATGATAACTATTACGGTCCCTGGTATTTTCAGAATTTATATGAAGGCATAATAATGTTATTTAGGTGTAAAAGTCTTTATTTGAAAAGAGCAGGGCATTCATAAAAAATATTATTAGATTTTTTTTCGAATTTATTTAGTAGGAAAGCATTTCAGAGTGGAAACTGACTGCTCAGCTATAACAATGTTAAAAACATTCACTCCGTTAATTGCATGAGTGTAATCAACGTATTAAATGAACTTAGCAGTTTCTTTGCCTTGTCAGCGAAAATTATCAACGATAAAGGAACGTCATTTACATCTAAAGCTTTTTTTGACTACTGTACGCTGAACAAAATTAAACACGTTAAGACAGCCGTTCGTTCTCCGTGGTCTAACGGGTAAATGGAAAGATGAAAGCAATCAATTTTAGCTTTCCTAAAGACAGCCGGATCCGATAATAACAATTGGGACGAAGAACTTCGATCACTCAGTGGATGCTTAACACTCAAATTGACTCAACAACTAATTTCGCTCAAAATGATCTCATATTCGATTTTCAATTGCGAGATAATACAACTAATCGTTTGCAGGATGCTTTACGAGATAATACCCTAGTAAATATGGTTGCCCGCCGAAATAAAGCAACCCAATGAATAGGAGCTACACGTTTCAAATGGAAGCGACATTTTAACAATAGCCATCAGAAGCTAAAACGGTATAAAGAAATTGATCTGGTAGTTGTTGAAAACGTTTTATCAGCTACTGGCGAGTCCAAAAAGTTAGAACCGAAATACCGAAATACCGTAAACCGTACGTGGTAGCTAAAATTATTGGATATGACCGCTATCTGATTGAGGATACGGACGACCATAAAAACAAAACTCGAAAATATACGTCGATATATACAAGCGATAAACTGAAGCTGTGGTGTACTCTATATCCTAACATTGACAATTTTAAAGATGACGACGAAATGCAACTGGAGGCGACTTGCAGTCAGGAAGAGTCGAGCTGTCATCCTGTAGTTTAATTTCCTTATCACTAAAATTTCATTTTTTCATTATATTCCCATCACGTCATTTTTAGTATATTTCATTTTTAATTAAAAATCCCAAGTGGGTTCGTTAAGTGGGAAACAACGCTTTGTAAAAGAGTGACGCATTAATAATGATTATTATAATTTTACATATATATAAAATTAAAATAAATGAATAAATATTTAAAACAAAAATTAATTGTTGATGAGTATATAACATTATTAAACTTTTTAAAATTAATTCGTTGTTGATCAAGAAAATATTTGCTATCTTCACTACCAATGCTCCACATTAGAAAGCAATATAAGTTTTATTTAGTTTTGCTGTTGATAAAATATTCTTAAAACGTACATAATATTGAATATTTGCTATCAATAACTCAACAAAAGACCCTTGTACATGTGCTGAGCATGGAACAGAGGAGAATCTGTTTGCATTTCATGCATAAATTTCGCAAGTATCATACGAGTTTCACTTTTACATTTGCCAAAACTTTAATTGGCTAATATCATAAATAACATAAAACCATTGTATTACTTCATTACAAATTTTTCCACACACCCGATATTCGACTTTCCGGAAGTTAAGCGTATGTATAGCCAAATTTACCATACTGTCACACGGAACCTCTACAAACTTTCATTGCCAACCCCTACATTTTACTTGAATACCGAACAATGGCACAGAAATTTATTTCCAACATTGCTTTATTTCTACATTAGAACAAATTTTATATGCAGAAAGTTAATGCAATCAATACATATATTCGCTTTCGATTCCCTGTGAATCCAAAGATGTGAAGAGCATTCGAAAGCATTTGATACACGAATTTCATTTAAATCAAAGTATTTGCATTTTGTATGAGACTTCTACTTCATGGACATTTAAGGTTGCTCTAAATATCTCCCGTCTCCCATTCGTCGAAAGGCAGAGTTATTATCTAAGCTGAGCAAATTTTATTACACATGGAAATATTTCATGAAATATTTGTGTATATTTGTGTATATTTGTTTTCCCTCCTGCTGCTGTTTCCACACTTAATTACATAAATTTTGATTGTTGCTGGAAAGTTAATTAAGCTTTTTATAAAAAGCAGAAATTTACATACATAATAGCTTAATGTGTGCGTATAGTATACACAGCGATATGTTGCCTTGTGTTTATACAAATTTGCATAGACAGACATGCTATATGGTATGTACCAATGTATACTTGAAATGTATAGAAAAGTCATTAGAGGCGTTCATCATCACGCCCACAGTGTCGTCATTATTAGCAGAATGCAGACCACACCAAATTTTGCTTACATATAATTAAATATACCATAGTTACATATATAAATGCATCTGAACTTATTCAATCGAATACACACACACACTCTAAACTTAGTATGGCAAGGAAGGATACTTGGGAAAGCATCTGCAAAAGTTAGTTAGGTCTGCACCTACCAGCGAAATGCCCAGCCAACGATTACTTGTGTTTAATATTGTAAATGCAATTGTATTCATCTCGAGGCGTTTGAAAAGTATTTCTGTAAAACGTGATTCCTGATTGTAAGCACGTATCGTGGTCACACCTTGTATTGTCTCCGAGAGATGTGATATTACGGGTGAATTTGTAGAGTTTTCAATACGCTGCAATTCCCTGGAAATACAAAAATACAGAATCAAGCATATATAAATAAAATAAAAATACTGCAAAATAATAATAGAAAAACAAAGAAGAAGAATACAAATGGAAATAATATAAAAACGTAAATGAAACCGCAGCACTCTGTGGATGTGTTTGCGAAACAAATCTAGTAGAAAATATTTGTAAATATTATAAAAACAAAGGCACGATGCTGAAAAGCAAAAAAAGAATCTATAAACCTAACACAATGGAACGAGACCTTCAAAACAACGTCTGGGACCAAAGTAGTTACTCGATGAAAATAATAAAAGCAATAGAAAAAATATTAAAAATACAAGTGCCTGCATTGCGAAACGAAAGCATATTTATTAATTTCACTGAGTATATGCAATACGCACCCCTCTCCGGAGGGCTTTCAGAAACTGGTAAGTGTGTTAATGGGTTAAAAGTACATTAAAGAAACTTTACTTCTCAGCTGCTTGCCACGAAATTTTATAGCACTATTTTAATTAGAATTTCAAGTAAAAGGAAAAACTTATTAAAATTATGAATAAAACTTTAATTTTTACTAAAGGACAGAGTGATATATTAATAAAAAAAATGGAATTCTAAAAAATAATTACCACTCCGAAGGATATAGTTTTATTATTTTTTTCTTACTACTTATTAGTGTTTATTTTTTATAACACATTTATACTGTCATTAACCGCTTCAAATTAATATTATAAGAATGTTAAAACATTTAAGATGGTTAATTAAGAAAATTGTCATACATTAAATTAAACATTGCTTTACCTTTAAAAACTATCGGAAATTGGAAAGAAAGAAAAAGAACATTACATATTATTTATTAATTTATTATTACTATTTATGCTGCATATAAAGAATTATCCAAGTCGCCAAGCACTTTGATCACTCAAAAATAAATTCATTAAATTATTTTGAGAAGTATAAGTTATAGTTGTAAAACAGACTTTGACATTGGTTAGTTTGTTACAATAGAAATAAATGTTTAGTTAATAAATAAAGAATAGCCAGATTTAGCAGGTAGAAAGCAATTAGCAAAATGTATACACATTGATTATCCTAAGCAATCTTTACAAATATATATATAAAATATGTATATAAAATACTATAACAAAAATTTCTGAGTATTATATATATCCATGGATGAAATATAGTTTCATGTGTATCAACGGGAACTCAATATCACAAAAGGCAATGGCTTTGGTCATACTGCAGAACATGAATCTTAACATTATATACGACAGCATTGTTTTATGAGGCGTTTCCATAATAATTCCATTTTCTCTGTTGTGTTCTTAAATTTATGATAGCATGGCTATTATTTTCTGGTAATGTACACAACTTTAACTTTTTTATCGACGTTGACTTTGATTCCCCATGTATTGAACCAAGACCGTGTCTTATTAGTGAGAACTGACAGCTTACGTCTTATTATTGTAATGGCTTTATTGCCAGACAGCATGACTATATCATCCACAATAGTTGCAATAATTTCACATTAGTTTGTGGTGTAGAAATATCAGCCGTGTATAAGAGGTAAAGATTTGGGCCTTGCACGCTTCGTTGAGGCACGTCCGTCCCTACAGAAAGAATATTTAATATATTTGTCTTATAACATGCGTAGAACTTTTTACCAATTAAGTACCTTTTTAGTAATTAATAGAGATTATCTGGCAAATTTGATGGAAGCTTATGTAGTAGACCATAATACAATACACTATCAAATGCTCTTGCAATATCAGGGTGCATGCCAATGCAGAGTTTTTTCATGTCAATATCGTTTGAAATTCTGCTGACAACTTTGTGCACTTACTAGATAGTCGGCTGTCGGGCTCGAGAGCTAAACTCTCGGAGGATGCGGAGCAATCAGATTTTTCCCATTTGAAAAGAACTCAATAATACGATATAAGATGTTTCTAAATAGGTTCTGATTGGTCTGGAAGTAGTTACTAGAACATGAATTTTGTTGCACTTAGCTATTGCGATAATTTCAGCAACTTTCTGAAGCACAGGAAATTACTTAATTTAATTAGAATAATTAAGAATATTTCTTATATTGGCAAATGTTGCAGCTAAAAATTGTTTAAGTAAGCAAGCAGTTACACCATCATAACTGGGAGAATGTTTATTATTTGCTTTAATTTTTAGTATTTCATTTATAAAATTTGTTGTGGCTTTTTCGATAGTAATATTAGATAGCGGTTGTAGTTGCATATACTTTGAAGAAATTGACTTAGAATTGAATTTATTTAAACATTTAAGATGATTAGCGAGTGATTTGAAGATAACAACAGCTGTCTTCAATAGTAATATATTTATGCTTAATGTTTTTGGAACATTAAAAGTCTATTTTAACAGGGGTTTCATCAGTATCAACTGAGTGGTGTTTGGGTTGCTAAATTTTTAAAGTTACTGATTTTAAATACATGAATATATAAATCTATGTTTTAAATCTTACATACAGCATTTTTTTTAATTACTTGTTAACTTCAAAAAATTGAAACCACTGTTACGACTGTTAATAGTAATTGAAGCTGCACACCTTAAATTAAAACAATTCGAACTGACTAATAAATGTAACTTATGAATGCCTAAACTTTTAATTTAAATAGGTTTAATTTATTGCACAATAAAAAGCAATTTTCATCAGAGTACAGAATATCTGTGATTTGCTTAACTTCGTTTATTTTTGATAGGTTCAACTTTTTTCATTTAACTCAACTATTTCCTGAGACTCTAAAAAGCTTATTCATAGAGAAAGTTTATCACATTTACAAGTGAAGGTGCACTACAATCGGTCAAGTAGACTCGGTAATAACAATGCAACTTAATGACACACAACTAAAATTTTTATAATATATGATAAAAACCAGTTGTGTTTTACAAAATAAACGAAGAACTTACTAAAATGCCCCTTAAATAATATATAAGAAAGTAGTAACGTAACATATTACAGCAAGAATACACGGTGATAATTTACGACAATGACTTTATAAAGAAAATCCGTAGGAATAATGCTATCTGATTAGATAAATATATTATTTGACTTTCTTATGAAACCGCATTGAATTTTCTTTAGAAGAGTTTACATATCAAGGCGAACATATTTCAGTCAATCGAAGAACTTAAACCAAGCGACCATTTGATTTATAGAAATTCTTTGACATTGGCTTAGATAGATCCATTGTTTCATGGAAAAATTACCTGTAAACAATAAAATAATTGCAATTTGGAGTTTTCGTCACTCATCACAGCCATTCATGAGACACGTCTACTTATTGGAAAGACATTAGTATAGTGTTATTGTATGGTAATAAGAGCAGATTGCAAATTTTTCGCTAAAGGAATTAAATGATTTTATCTTATACATGCCATTGTCTATATTATTGAAAGAATAGTTTATTTTCCATGTAAAATTCAGATATAAATTCGCCATGAACATAATGCTCTAGAATTGCGTTGGACTTTTTGCTTTATTGAATATTACAAATACAAAAAATCACAAATACTCACTGACATTTAAATCAACTTTATTTGTGTATGAGAGAAATAAGTGCTAATTAAAGCTAAAAACTGAAATTCCAAAATCGAATTTTTAAAACAATCCAGAGACAGTTGTTTCACGAGGATTATGACCTATGAGAATGTTATAAACCCCATTTATTTTTATTTTTATTTCAAACTAAAAATTTTTATCTTTATTTTGATCATCATTCATTTATTAAATATATATAATATTCAATAAAAATCGCTGAAATTGTGAAAAATAAAAGGACTCACTTGTTTTTTGAGAATTAGCTCCTAATGAAAGATGTTCACAATTTGAAGTTTCGCTGGGTAAAGTCTAATGGATTTTATTCCATTAACCATTGGCTTTAAAATTAACAAGGATTAGTTTTAATTCTAAGATCAATTTTTGACTGTAAGTTTCTAAGTCGTTTATTCTGTAGCAACTGCTTTGTTTTCAGTTTGGATTTTAAGTGATTTAATAACAAATCTAGTAAGCCAATTGAAAGTATAAAGTGTGCCAACAGCAAAGGCACTGAAATTCTTAAAGGAACAACAAAAGCAAAGTAACATTGGGACTGCGATTCCAACTTTGACTTTGACTATTTTGATGATTGTGAATACCAGGAAAAGCATTCTAACGAAAACACAAACGAGGACGCAGAAGTGAACAACGTAGAGCGAACGAATAAGAAAGCTCTTATAAATTCAAAAACAACGGACGCATAACATTTTGTGTCTAAAAGTCCTTAAAACTAAGTTCCTTACCACAAAAATATTTAAACTATAAAATCAAGGAAGAAATATTAAAAAGTTCACTTTTATCTTTTTTGGTTGGAATATATCGCACTCAAAATGGGATTGACTACGATTTGAAGTTTGGAGAACAGAAAACTGAAAACTGAAAACTGAAAACTTTTTGACAAAATATTTTCGTAGCCAAAAACAATTGCGTTGTAATAATGCCACTTGATGCCTTTTGCCATGTTGGATGAGCAGTTTAGGAGCAGCAGTCGAGGAAAACGGAAACGATGACAAAGTCGACAGGGATGACAATGAGAAAGTTCTACAAGAAAATTATTTGACATTTCGATTGCTAGTGCGTGTAAGTGTGAGTATTGTATCAGTTCAGTGCAGAAATGAATTTCTTAGTATATTTAGTCCTAATTTTTGTTTTTGTTTTAGAAGTTATTGTCGGTGTTGTCTAGACTCGGGTAGATTTTCAAGGGAGAATTCAATTAATAACTTCTCTGATATATTTTCATTGTAAGATTGTGGTTTAGTTGGTGGCATAAGTTTTTAATTTGTTGTACAAATGTTTTGATAATAATTATAATTTCGAAAAAAGAAGCTTACACATCCAATATGTTTGTCCACAGCTGTGCTAGTGCAATGTATCTGTCAAAATACATAGTTGCACTAGTCAACACTGAATACCCTAGAAATATTTCCATTAATTTATTTTTACAATTTCACTTTAATAGCTGTGAGATTTTTATAATAAAATTCTTTAAATACATATAGCGAACTCAAGTATTTTAAAACTAAAAATAAAAAAGTTACTCCTACTGTAATAATTTTAAAACAATTTTGTTTTTACGAAAATGAAAAAGAAAACTATTCATAAATCCACTTATTAAGACTCGATAACTTTTTAAGCATCCGCAAAAGAACTAATGAAAAAACAAGATTTTTCGAATTGTTCAAGTGAAAATTTTAACGCTCAACTGGTATTACATTCTAAATTTGAGGATAAAAGAGCAAGTTTCAAGTACTCAAAACTAACAAGATTCAAGGAAGCACCGAAGCTACTTCATTTATTGAATTTCATAATAGAACACAATGGGGAAGTTGAGTTGACGAATGAAAAAATAACAAACTTCCATAATTTTAAAAAACTTTCACAAAAGGAAGTACTATAGAGAAAAACTATTGTACTTCATAGTACATCACTTAAAGACTGTGAGATGTTTTTATCATCTTTGTTATTGCATAAACGAGGGAAAGGACATAACGACACTATCCAAAAAAGACAAGTATCAAAAATTACTATATGTCAAAAAATCACGGTAATACTATATAAAGATATATGATATATTACTAAAAGTATTTATTCAGGTTGCTATAATTAAAATTATTATTTTAATGAAAGCTCCATTAGATGCAATAACAATAAGTTTTACTGCATACTGAAAGCAAGAAACTGTACACAAACACTGAACACAAAAACGATCGGAGGTTTAAAAACTGTACAATATTGTACTATATGTATATCGGAAGCATATAGAAATGTAAAGATAACACTAAAACATTATCAAATTTACATGGACAACTTTTAAATTATTAATGAAAAATTTCAAATAATTTTGGGAAAGTTATTTTTGAGGAAACCGTATCATAAGTGCACTTTGACGAACTTTCGGTCCGTCATTTTTAAGTGTACTGCAGTTTGTACAACAAAAACATCCACATTTATTAGAATAAAGTGCACAACATCTCCAAGATTTTTAATTATAAATTTATGCATTAAGGCAACTATTTAGTAGTTTTAAAATTAGTTATTTAATTCATTTTGCAATGTAAGGACTTCAATGTCCCAATATTAAACATGATTATGGAAACATTTAAAGATTTCAACTAAATCAAAATTCATAATACTATGGACATTAATTTTTTTAAATATTTATATGGGTTGTTCGTCAAACAACGAACAACGGAAAAATTTTTTTGTCAAAATTAATTAACTTCATCACTTCCGATCTGGTTAAAATTATTATAATTAAACGCGCCTTTTTTGAAGTAAAAACATAAAGACGTATCTCAAGAAAAAAGTCTATTATTTACAAAGCCTGAGATATGGCCATTTAAAAATTTGTCTAAAATGCAAATTTTTATTTGCATTCCTTTATAACGAAATTTGTAGAAAAAAATTTTCAATTTTTTCCTGAGAGACGGGTATTTTTTTTTTTAAAAGCTGTTCCGCTTATAAATTATATATTTACTAATATAAGTACTTTTTATTTTCTAATAAATTACATGAGAAGTTTTGCACTTTTTAACATTTTTTTTACATTTCCTTATATTTCTATCTTTTAATGTCAATTGAAAACATCTCAGTAATTTATTCTTCAGCCAAATACAAGTGCTTGTGAAATAAAAACAACATAATAACTCTAAATATTGTTGAAGCTATCACTTATGAAATTACCACACTCTTCATGTTTCGCAAGATGTCACAGGTACACAGCCCCTTTAAGTTCAGTACAATTAAAACTTTTATAACACTATTAATCATAGGCGTTGCCAGAAACCTGAATAAGACCGCCCGAAACGGTTTTTTTGTTTCGAAAGTGATTGGTAAAATAAAAATTATAAAATAAATCTAAAGAATGATTTAACCAATATTACTCTGCCTAACGAACTGATTAAGAAACCTTGACAACTGCTTCCCAATGCAATGTTTTTATTTAACCTCAGTATTTGTTAGACATTTTAGGGGAAAACTTAATCAAATTCCACCCCTGAAAACATATTTAATAATCAAGCATTTTATAGAATTCAGATTTTACAATAATCATCAAAAAGTTTCATTTCACAAGATTTTAACCCGCGCAGACGTTCGCAATGGAATCTATTAGATATTTTCACCACACCCGAGGCCAAACGCCAAATATTCCAATAAACTATAAATCTCTTCCATTAAGTTTTAAGCAGCGGAAACATAACATAATAGATACAACAACACATAATTTGCATACAAGTAAATAAGATCAAGTGGGAAGCTACCACCGCAATCTCTAAGTAACTACCAGGAACATTCTACTTCTGTTTTTAAATATTACAAGCCACCACTTCTTTTACTTGCTAATACTTACCGGGATGAGCACCTGTAGAACTTCTGTATGACATAATAGGCAATACATATTGGCACCGTCAGCAGGACAAACCAAGGAGTTATGCTCACATTAATCAACACGGCACAGAGGCATAATAACATGAACTGAAGCAAACGTTGACTTGTTGCTGCGATTTTCTGCAATGAAGACACCGAAGAGTGTTTTGATTAAGCTGGGATATGCAAGTGTTTTTGATTAAATTTCAAGGATATTTTGGTTGGTCTATAAGTCACTATATGTATATATATGTGTATGTGAGTTAGGTAAAAATATTAAAAAAAAATTGCAAACCATTTTATTTGCATACATAGTAGTAATAGTTTTTTTTAGCAACTTAGCAAATCAGTAATGGACTTTGAAAGCCAATTGTTCTACATTACACTTTCTACATTAAGTTTTTATTTAAACATTTATCAATCTAAACCCTCATATAATTTATTATATTTGATATTGTATAATTGATTCAGTTTAATAACAATAATTAGAATCGCCGCTTAAAGCCTCTATATTTTAATGTCTATTTTGTAAGTAAACATTCTTTATATATACATTTGGGTATTTCTTATTTCCAACTTTATAATTAAGAATTAACATCTGCATACATCTGCATACACTGTGACTCTGTCTTAATTATTGAATTATAAAGTTGTCGAACGAAATTCTGTTCAGATAACTAACACTACACATCTTTTAGTCTAATAAACATTGTCACTACTTAAATGATATTATTTTTATTTAATAAAAAAAATGTTATCTCCACTGTGCGTACTTAAAAATAACCCATAAGCAGCAATGAAGCAACAAGGAAGTCCATTACCACTTGCACAGGTAAATATTTCTAACCTAACCCGGCACCTTAGAGTCTCATATATATCTCCACACTTATATTTCCTGAAAAGTACTTGTGCAACAAATATTTGCTTGCGTGGCTGTTCCAAAAGTGTGACTTTCAACTTTGTTGAAAGTTCGATAAAAGTCTATCAGTTAAAAATTTGTTATATTTCAGATGATTTTCCTGGCAACCGGAAGTACAGTGAGTTCCGATTTTGAGTAATAAAAGTTGCAAAAAACCCAAATTTGAATTTTCGTTTATGTTTTCGATTATATATTGGTACATATTATTATGATATTATATTATCATATTATTGGTATATTGCTTTAAATTCAATCTTTGCATAGTTGCGAGTTTGTAGGAGTTCACGTAAAATAATATTTGGCGATAATAAACTCAGATTAATTGTTAATTTTTAAGCGCATTTGCGTAGTTTAGCCGCAAAAGTAAATCTTCTAAAACCATTTTACTAAATATTTGGCAAAAACGTGTTTTCAATCGGTGGGTTTTGTGTTCTGGTAATATAATCGACACGCACGCTAAGAGAATTGCCGTCAATCAATTTGCAGGCGGTTATTGTGGTCGCCGTGCATTGATTTTCATCTTGTCAAATTATTTTAGAGACCGCAAAACAAAAACAAAAACAACAACAAAACCAATAGTATGTAGTGTTGTGTAATCTAAAATGTAAAACTGAAATGCGTAACTCACCTTATCAATGATCGCCATGTCATTGCTGAAGCGATTCATTATCCTACCCAATGGCGTTACTTGAAAAAAGTGCAACGATTTTCGCATAATCGTTCGCAGGAGTTTATCATGCAAATTACGACGCGCATTACAGCCCGCGAATTGGCCGGCCGGTGTCGATATCATGGCCATTACCATGCACACACACGAAATGACCGCATACACGCGAAAATAGTACGTGACTTCGTGCTGAGCCGTATCTGAGGTACGTAATATTGGTGCTGGCTCCATGGATGCAGCAGTTGTTGCCATTGTTGTTGAACTGAATCCTGTCGCTGCATTGTCGTCCGTCCAGTGCTGCAGCCACACATCCGTGTAGACGCGCAAACACTGCCAAATTAGGGCAGTAGCGAAGAATATCAAAACAATCGGTAATCCAGATGCACGCAAATAGAGCAAATAAATTTGCATTGGGATTTTTCCATATTTGCGTTCGACATCTGCTACAGTTGTTGGTGCCACAGCTGCTGTTGCTACTTCTGCTCCTACTGTTGTAGTTTTTCCAGCATCCGTTGGCATCGCTAACGGTGACTCCGTACCGTCCGTACAAGTGCTCGATGCTGTCACAATTTTATTGTTTGTCAACACTTTGTAGTCAATGTTGGTATCTGCTGAATACACAAGAATATAAAATTAATATGCACATTGCACAAAAAATTTTTATATAGAGAAAAAAGATATTAATGGGCATTACGGTCGGTGTGTGCTACAGTACACCGTACAATTTCAATTTAAAATAATTTACGTGCTCTCTCGTCAATTGTCGGGCTTAACAAATTGTAGGAGGAAAACGTCGTAGAAGATATATAGACGGTAAATTTTTTTTTTACTTTGGACTTTGATGCTAGATAAATGACACGAATTTCTATTGAAAAACTTTGAAAGGCCTTTTGAACGACAATTTAATATAATATCTGCATACTTTGATATCATACTTTCACAAATATACTTTCGTCTACATTCTATCCTGCTAGACATTTAAATTTTCATGACTGAACAAATATTGTATGTACTACAAATGCTGGAATCATTTAATTGCCAAAAATTTCAACTGAATTACCATAGAAGCTCCTAAACTTAGTAGAAACTGCTCCAAAGGTGCTTCAGAGAGCGGAGCACAAAACTGAGTTTTAGTCAAAAGCTCTTACGTTTCACCTCTACTTTCAACAGATCGCATATCAAACCAATATTTGAAATACTATATATACAGGAAACGAATTTTTAATTAATTTTTAATTAATTAATTCAGTAAAATATAAAATGAAATATTTTTACGACTGAAATATTTAAATACAGAAAATTGAAATTGTTTTTTTTAAACACTTAAATTAATGTATGAATTTTACCGCTGGATGTAGCATATATTCTGATTGCCAGAAGAAAACTCTGGCCACAATGGATATTTCAAATATTTCCAATATGATACAGTAGAATTAAAAGGATTGTAAGTACTTTCAAAAATGTACATATTTCAATAAATAAAGTTCGTCAAATACGGAATAAGTTAGATAAAACTATTTAAGAATCGGTGTAACTAATTAAAGACTAGACTATCTGTTCAAACATGGATTACACAAGTGATTAGATTACAAATCACATGTGCAATCCAACTGTTGTCTGCACTAAATAATGTATTCAAAGGACATTGTTATTTATTCAAGTACTCCAGAAAAATTCCATTATTTGCTTAAATTCTTAGAAAAATAAAATTTTATTAAAGTATAATGTTTTAATGTCACAAATGTCAATATCGTAATATCTCATGTGTATCAATTACAATAATTGCAATCTTTTTTATCTCAGAAACATATGCGCTAGAGTATACAGTGCGATATCTAGCGATAACAATCTTAATTTCAATCCTTAGGTTAACGTTAAGTTAAAGGTATAAATACGAAATAAATTATCTACGAAATAAATTATAGTACGTAATTACAAAATACTCAAAGTTCGTACTTCAATAAAAAATAGTACACATCTCCTAACCACGCAGTACTGTGAGTCATCAGTTTTTTGTCCATGCAAACTATCTTCTTTAAAACAGATATTACTCTTATTGGATTAATCGATGCTCGCTTAAGACTGATTTAACTGAATTACAATATGTGCAATATGTATGTTTTTAAGTATGAATTAACTTAGTTAGAGTAACTGAGTGCCTGTACACTACTTGCTTACTATACTTTTCTTAAAAGAGTTACAATGATTTGCATTTTCTCTGCACTGATTTCTTTAATCTTTCAAAATAATTAATATCCTACACACTATATAATGAGCATTCTTGAAACTACTATTCGTTATAGAGTCTTTACAAACCTAGATGGCTACCAAGCCAGACATGAGTTGTATAAGTTATATTAGCTACGATCAATTTGCCAAATCTGCACAGGCTTGTGAATAAGAAAACATCTGAATATCTAAGATAAAGGATATTATTGTGCTAAACTATTGCACCTGCAAAATACCAATTATCTTCAGAAAGGAAAGCAAAGTATGTTCGGAAAGTATAAACAGTCATATTTTTCATTTACATTTAAAATTTTCAGTTAACAATTTATTACAGCGCTACAGTGGCCAAAATGGTAGTCTAATCTTGTATTGACTCCTGTCAACATGTTCTAAATATGGTATTAAGTAATTCTGTCCACTCAAATAATCGCCAAATCAAATATAACAGTGGCATCAACATTTTATGACCTGCTTAGCCGGAAATAAACGCGATCTTAATATTTTCTCACATGATATACATCCCAAGTGTCTTCGACTTCAACTCATTAAACATGTGGCCAATTCAACTTAGTATCTTCTACAAAATATTTACAGTCGCCCACGTCGCCATGTAGTAACATAAAATGTTACTTACAAAATTTTAAGCCACATCATAGAGTAATAGAAATAATAAAACAATAACAAAAGTAATAAAACATTTATTAAAATCACCACCAAATTTAATACAATTAATAACAACAGAGCAATAATAAAATTTGTAAACAAAACACCGTTGTAACTACAAGACCAAAACACCAGAATACACCACACTTTTCCGGTATAAAAAACGAAGCAAAAGTGCAATCGAGACAGTCAATGCCAAGATCACTTGTGCCGACGAGTACCTTTTGTCACTCGCCCGTAGATACCTTACCCTTACCTGCTTTCGTGATTTGATCACAAAGTTTTTCGTTGATGTCACCCATGCTAACTAGTCGTAACTCCACCGTCTTCAATATTTTACTTAATTCTACTTAACTCATGCCCTTGTTTTCTAGCTTAGATGAACCTAGTTCACTAGATATTAAGTCTATCTACTCTCATCTCTCTCTCTCCTGATTACTGAAATAAAGTTTCCACATTGTAGAAATCTCCATTCATTCCTAAGAGGTGGTTTTAGAGGGTTCATGTCTCAAACTATAGCTTTGCGAATATGTGAATATATGTCAAAGGTTTCTGGATAAAATATAGCCGTATATACTATTCAGAGAAAGTATTATAACAGAACTATAGAAATAGAAATAATATATGTTATTGTCAACTATGAATCGGTTTCATAGGCACTATTGAAAGTCAAAATGAACAAAATATGAGTGAATACGGTACTACAAGCAACGTGAAATCAGTTAAGCATATATTATATGATTATTAAATTCAATTATTCTACAGCTGGTTTATGATTTCGTTCTAATATAAACACAGCAAGTAAAATTGTTAATAATTGTTAAAAACTTTCGTAGCAAAAGTAACAAAACTCCAATGAAATATGACAACAGAAAAGTTAAGCACGGCTTTAAATCAGTTGGTTAAAGTGCGCTGATTCTGAGCTTCATATGTGGCAAGACCCGAGTTCGAATCCTGGTACTTGCAGTCGCAAAAATAATTACTTATGAATAATTAAATACAAGAATTATTTCCAAGACTACTGATGATGGACATTTGGCAATACTCGAAACAGCTGTATGGTCAGCCGAAAATTCAATTAATTAAAATAATATAAAAAAATAAAATTTTTGTTGTTGTAGTTCACTACAATTGTAGAATTATATAATGCTGTCTATAAATTTTGAGCTTGTGAAAAAAACTGCAACACTATTTGAAAATCTAATAACCCAAATCCATTCGCACAAAACTGTGAATATGGTTACCATACTATTATAATATGCCGCTACTACATACCTAAGAAATTATAATTCTCAAAAGTTTTGAATTAAGAAGCTTATAATAAACATGAGTAAAGTTGATATAAAGTGAAAACAATTTAATATAGAATTTTACAATGAGTCTATCCATCAAACGCCAGTGAATAATTATTGGAGTATTGATAGAAGTGGTATAACACTCCATATGTTTGTATTTTAAATTCTCAGTTCAATATGCTGTTGTATCTATTGTTTTTATGTTAAAAAAAGATTATGTGAAATTTATTTTTTGTTCTCAAAGGCGTTTCTGTATTATGAGTAAATTATAGTCATATTGAAAAAAAAGGTTTTATTCAATTATTTAGTAATTAGAATGGACTTTGAGCTAATTCACTTATATACCTATAACTAAATGATTTTCTCCCAAAATCAAGCCAACATTAGTTTTCATTTATTGACAAGAACTAAAATACCATTATTTTATTACCCTCGGATGTTAAGTTTGTAAAACTAATTTTACACTATCAAAAGGATGTCCATAATGGCATTACCGAATATCCACTATCAAAGCAATCCATAGGATACATTAGAATTTCTTAACTGAGATATTTCAAATTTTCCAGGTTTTTCAAAAAAAAAATAAAAAACAACGATCTGTGGTTATCATAATGCAACATACCACTATTTTGCTTGATCTGCAATAGAAATTAGAATCAATCGTTAAACCAAACGAAAGTAGCTTATTGTATAATGAATAATATCGCCAAGCACACAATTTTACTTTAGTTATGTATCTGAAATTAACATCGTTTATGGAACCTCATTTAATTCGCGGAAACTATTTAAATACAGTATTACCATAATATGAGAGATCAACCGCATGATGATAAATATTTTCAAAATCGCTGGATTTTGTTTCATATTAAAACTGATCCAAAGATCAACAGTTTTTATATTAAATTTATTACCTCCAAAGCTCGTTGTGGATAATATACCAATTAAAGTTATATAAGCAACGATCAGCATAAATCTAAATCTCTCCATTTCAAATAAGCAAACCAAATATTTCATCTATTATTCTATTTATTTAAAATACGTTTTATTAAAGGTATTGTATTTTGAATTTAGAATTATAAGTTATTGATTATAGTACCATACATAACTCCGTACTCTTCCATATTAAATTTGGACTACATCGATATTTGAGAAGCCTTGATGCATTCACCGTATAGTCCGGAAGTTACACTGTGTGACTAATTTGGTTTGGTCTCTGTAAAACTGTCTTAATAGTAAAACACTGTTCGACCAAAGAGACGCTAAAAATCACTTGTACAAGTTTTTCTCCGACAAATCACAGAATTTTTCACCGACATAATTAACAATTAACTGTTAATGATAAAAATTGATTTTTAATTGAGTTCTGTTAAAAAATGAACCAAAATCTGCGAATACCTATCAATATCACACAATATATTCTATTTATATACCAGGATCCATCTGTCTGTGCACTACTTTATATGATTGAATTTTGATTGATATTTGTCGCGCTTAAATTTCGACATCTGTCAACTTTTTTATTGAAATTATTTTGAGCTATGAAGGTCTCAAATCTCGATTTCTCAATTTAGCTAATATTAAATATTCTTCATGAGTCTTATCTAGATATTCATTAACATAAATTGTACCCAACGTATAGTTGACTAATAGTTGGTACCCTGTTTGAAGAATAAGATAATATTTCAAAATAATATGAAACCAGAAACCTGGACCATACAATGAAGTAAGTTTTGCAGCAGAAGAATACAAAGAGAGGAAAAATAAAGGTTCCAAGATCGAGGTGCAGGAGTATAAATAAATAGAGAGCTAGACAACTTTTTCCATTTGACCTTAAGACATCAAAAAGAGGATGGAAATAAAAACAAATTAATAGTTGATCGAGTGCTCTCAAATATGTACTAGTCTCTTAGCATTTATCGCTAAGATCTACCTAGCGTTCAGCCAATTAAACAATTGAGAAATATTGTGCAACTCAAAAAGTCCAAGTTTTTTACTCTATAATGAAAACTAAGAGGCCTCTGTAATTGATTTCAAAATTTTGGTCACTTAAGTTTTTCAAATTTGATCCATTCACACCAAGCACCGCCAAACAGACTAATAAATGCAAAAGTAAGCACAGTGCGAAGTGCATAGTCTACTTAGCATAACAAAATTACAATATTTGTCAATATTCATCAATTGCCTTTGCTAGAGCGAAGTTTCAGTCTCATTTGGCTCCAATAATTAATGACACTCATCAACAATTTCAACACAGACAGCAACAGCGGAAATTCAACTGCCAGCACAAAATAATGTGCAATGCCTGCCTTTTGTGCTTGTGTCCCTTATTGCGAACTGCAAGTAGTCAATTCATTGCATTCTATCCAAGGATAACAGCTGCGGAAGTCGAGCTGTTCCCTACCAGAGTGCTCAGCGCTTCAGAGTTCTATGCCATTTGTCCTGACACTTAATGAATATTGATTAAATTTAATTTATTTATCGCGCTGAGCTTCAAGTCACTCAGTTATTATAGCAAACAAACGCAGAGTGCAAGTTGCAGTCGTGCCTTTGCCGAAAGTACGCAATAAGATTTTCGCAGGAAGCTGTGCCACTGAACTGTGAAGCCATTTCGCGAGTTTCAAGCTATTCTCCAAATAGAAAGTATTCAGATTTTTGTTTCACAAAGCGAAATTAGATAAGTGTTTATTTGTAGTTGCTTTTCTTCTTGTAGTATGAAAAATGCGGATGTAATGTTTATTAATTTCATCTGATTAAAAAATACTTTTCACACTATTGCGGAGAATAGAGTGTCAAGATGTTTCTAACGTAAGAAAAAAAGACATCGGAGCCCATAACAACCGGAGAACTTTCAAAAAAATCATTAACCGAAAAAATGATAATCTAGGAAATGCTCTTTTCTGGCCGCAATCGTCCTCAACTGCAGCAATCATTTTAGCTTCGGGAACAGATTGAAATCACGTGGGATAATTTTATTTGCAAGCCGTGTTTCGACGGCTACGTTTTTTTTCTTCCCTTTATTTATACAATTACCAAGACCTGGCATCTAGTATTCGTTTTTGCTGTTGCGGAAATTGCAGTGATAATTCAAATCAATATTAAGAATCATATGTTGTGTGTGAAATATTTAGAATAAATGATAAAATATTTAAAATAAATAAAATAAAAGCGTTTTTTGGTGAAGAGCGTTTTTTGGTGAAAATAAAACACTAATTATTAATAGGAAAAAAAAAAAAAACTTATTCAAAATATTGGCCATTGCTTTCTACACATTTTGATCACCTTTCTAGCAATTTGTGGATACTACGCCAAAAAAATTGTTCGTCTTTTAAAGCAAACCAACCAGACACCCAATTTTCGACATCCTCGTAGGAATCAAAATGCTGCTCAGCCAATGCGTGTCCCATCGATGAAAACAAATGGCAGTCGGAAGGAGCCAAGTCTGGTGAATACGGCGGGTGGGGTAGCAGCTCCCAGGCAAGTGTTTTAATTGCATCCTGAACCCGTTTTGCTTTGTGTGCAGGTGCATTGTCATGGAGCAGAATTACCTTGCCGTGTCTTCTGGCCCATTCTGGTTTCTCGATCAATGCATGGTTAAAATTTATCATTTGTTGTTCATAGCGACCAGCATTGACGGTTTCACCAGGTTTTAGGAGCTCGTGATACACCATACCTTTCTGGTCCCACCAAACACACAGCATTGTCTTCTTGCCGAATCGATCTGGTTTTGCAGTCGATGTTGATGGTTGTCCCGGATTAACCCATGATTTTTTCCGTTTAGGATTCTTAAAATAAATCCATTTTTCACCGCCAGTAACAATTCGATGCAAAACCGATTTTCTTTCGTGTCTTTAAAGCAAAATTTCACAAGTGTTTTTTCGGTTTTCCATCTGTCTTTCATTCAATTCCTGTGGCACCCATTTTCCACACTTTTTTATCTTTCCCATAGCTTTTAAACGGTCAGAAATTGTTTGTTGTGCAACATTTAACATTTCTGTCATTTGCTTTTGACCCAAAGTGTCATCTCCATCCAATATCGTTTGCAATTCGGCGTCTTCAAACTTTTTTGGCGGTCTTCCACGTTCTTCATTTCTCACATCAAAATCACTATTTCTGAACCGTTGAAACCATCTTTTGCATGTTGCTTCTGATAGAGCATGATCACCATATGCCTCGACAAGCATTCGATGCGACTCTGTACCACTTTTCTTCAAATGAAAACAAAAAACAAAAAATTAATGCTTTCCGCAAATCATCACTTTCTGGTACAAAATTCGACATTTTTAACACGATGAAAAAATATGATGATGTCTGTTCAATGACTTGATGTATACTGAATATATTTCACACATGTCATAGCAAACAAACAAAAAGAAATAAAGGCTCGTTCACAACAAATGTTCCCTGTCAGAACATTTGTATCTTTACGCTCACTTCATACCGGTACACCTGGTATATATATATATATATGAATTTTTTATCAGCTGCATATATAATATATATATGTTAAATAGCTAATTATGCATTAATGTAGTAAAAGTTCTAATGGAAATAAGAATAATAAGCGTCTATTACATGTGGTTTAGTCATTTGGTAGCTGCCCCATTCCTGAAATAGGGTAGGAGAGTGATTCTTTATTTGATTAAAAGAGTGATTCTTTTACTACCTTTTCAGATAACTTTAGCGCCGAAGGGAATTTTTAAATGACATTCACTGTCATAGTTTGAGATGTACCAGTCAGCGTTAATGCTAGTTGCATGTGGATTTGTTAAAATTTTTATCAGCTGTATTTTGCAGTGTCGTCTACAAGTGTTACTATCAAATTTTGAAGATCCAAAGGTATCAGAATATCAGCTGTATATACAAAGTTGAATAATTGACCTAGTACGCTTCCTTGGGGCACACCAGCTTTTATTTGTATAAGTTCTGAAATCGAGTCTATACTTCACATAAAAGTATCTATTTTGTAGATAGCTCTTTTATATGGAGTAAAAGTTTGTTGCAAGGAACTGAGATAATTTAGTTAAGAGGCCTTTGCAACGTCTAGATATACCGCAGAGAAAAATTGTTTTGAGTCAAAATCACTTGTAATTTTATTTCCGACTCTGTGAACATGTTTGAGTATTTGTCACGGAAAAAACGATCATTTTGGTTAAATATGTAATCGCGCTTTCGATTTCGTCTTTAGATTTTAAGGAAACATTAATAGTCAGCATTAAGAATCTCAAAAAATGTCAAAGCAATATTTGCAATTATATAATAGATTAATTTTGGCTGCATTATATTAATTTTTTCCTTTACGATTTGTAATTCTTGAGCCCCATAAAGTATTTTTGCATTAAAATCTCCACCAACAATCTACCGATTGCCAACAGTATTGGTAGGTCAAGTACACATCATTCGAGTTATTGTATTTCGGAGGACAGTTTATAGCTGATACTGTTAACTGGCCTTCTGTATCTTAAATGAAGACGGTTGTAGCTTGAATTTGATCTATTTGGTATTTATTGGTTACCAAGCATTGTATATTTTGTTTAATAATTATTGCAGTTCTGGCATGAGCTTTCGTTTTATGTTGTTTTGTGTGAAGAGGTGGAAATCGCGTATAAAACGGCTACATTAGTCAAGTTTTCTGCTAAACATTAAAAACTTTGATGTTCTTATTTTCATATAAAGGAACATACATAATTTTTTTTATATTGATTCAGCTTTAGATATAGCTGCGATATTAACTACGGAATCACACACAAATTTTCGTTCATAGTGCATTTTAGTTTTTTAATGTATGTATGATACTTAAGGAAGATACGTAACAATAATAGCGATAAATTATATTTCTACACTTTAATCTCAATTCAATGCTTGTATTCTGTCTTTAAATAAATCTAACCAAATTCAAATGTCACTAAGTTTTGTGCATAACACATCAAAGATGACGACATGGAACCTTTTTAAATTCTGCTCTTTATATCAATCAAACAATTTCTATTCACTTTTCTTTATTTAATCTTAAAACTTTCATTTATGTTCTCGAACGTGAGATGAGAATTGCTAGCAATACAATTTTTTTGCAAACTAAGCAACTGCCAATTTAGCAAAATAACTCTCTATCCGGCATTCAGTCGGTCCGTATGTTCTACATTTTTCTACCAGCTCAGGTTGTATATTTACTGAGACATTTACCTACTGTGCAACATTGCTTTCACGATATACAATTCCACTATGCAGAACGCAGAATTGTAGTGATGTTTGCCAATGACTTACCTTGTGCAGGCTTTCCATGCTCAGTACTTGCTACTAGATTTTGAGTTGGAATACACGCCTCCGTTTCGGCCTCATTTTTGGTCACAGTTTCTGGTCTAGCAACAACTGAAGTCAACTCAATTGATGGCGCAGCAGTTACTGTTGTTGTCTCCTCCGAAATGCTCCTGTTGATGGCGAATGATAGAAAGCATACATTGACCAGTCGTGTGTAAAAAATAACGAAAATAGATTAAAAAAAATTAACTAAATTAGGAAAAAATATTTGAATAAAAATAAAAAAAAGGAACCCTATTTATTAAGCAGCGAAAACGGCTGTGCTTTATGTGAAGTACTGTTGGGAAAAAATTGGTGCAGACAGTTTGGTCGAGCCAAACAAAAGATCAACAGGACTTCGGTATTTGTCGTTAGAGTCAATCAATATTGACAGTACACTTACATCACATCACAAGCCAGCAGAAGTCAACGCAACGTGTCGTTTTCCTCACATTCAATCCTCATCAAAGCTTTGCATATACCAGCTCTTTACCAGAAATCGGTGGGCTGATGTTCATTATTAATGGTGCTTGATTTTTGAGGCTTTCAGTTGAAATACAGATTTATTGCAGCAGAAAAAAATAAACACAGAAACGAAATAAATTTTTAGTTTACGTTTTTAGTAGAAGAAAAATATTTGATTTCTAAATTGAAGGCAAAGCACGAGTACTCGCTGTTTCCGTTGCTGAGGCCAATGGCATTTAAATATATGCTAGATACGCTACAATCCTCAAATCACACATTTAAATATAAAGAACTCTATGAACGCGCTTTAAACAAGTCTGAGAATAAAAATTATTAAAAGACGTTTTTTGAAATGACTTCTATTAACTACTAGCATTTTTTAAAAGAAGTTCTTCAAACAAATATATCGATTCATGGTTATTAAAACATTTCTCGTAATTTGTGCTGGTATTAACTGTCTATGTGAAGTCTCAGGCTTCAATACAATAAAATAGTGAAATATATTACAATATTCAGTATATATATATAACCTTTTTACTTCATCTCTGATATGGAAGTAAACTACCTCTTGAAGTGTGTGCAATCAGTAGTCTTAACTGGAATCGCAATAGATCTATCAGCTCTGTTCGTAATCTTAAACAGCCAGCTCTATTTATTTATTAAAATCAGGGACCGAAAATAACAGTTATTTTAAAATTTTTTATGAAAAAAAGCAGCAACAAAAAGTTGTCTAAACTCTTATTTAAGTAAATAGTTATCATTCTAATAACTTTTATCCTTAATATTATGCATGCTTTTTATATATGAGCTTTTTAAAATAAAACTCAAAAAATAATAATTAAATTTGATTTTTATTATATTCATCAAAAATAATAATTATTATATGCTTTTTATTTTTTTCGCGCAGAAATAACTCTTAAAATTTGCTTCTTATTTTAAAACGCACAAATAACTGGTATACTTGCGTTATATAATATAAAAAGCAAGAGTATCGCGCAAATTCTGCGCGATATTTTTAAAATGAAAATATAAAATGCAATTTTCATACAAGGTAGTTGTTTTTGCAATTCCATAGAAAATGTTTGAAAAGGTTGGTGCAGGTAAAGATTTAGTTCAGTTTTTTGTTTTTGTATTTTGCATTCATATTTTGTATTTATATTTGTATTTTGTAGGAGAACAAATTTGTATGCAAAATACAAAAACAAAAAACTGAACTAAATCTTTACCTGCACCAACCTTTTCAAACATTTTCTATGGAATTGCAAAAACAACTACCTTGTATGAAAATTGCATTTTATATTTTCATTTTAAAAATATCGCGCAGAATTTGCGCGATACTCTTGCTTTTTATATTATATAACGCAAGTATACCAGTTATTTGTGCGTTTTAAAATAAGAAGCAAATTTTAAGAGTTATTTCTGCGCGAAAAAAATAAAAGGCATATAATAATTATTATTTTTGATGAATATAATAAAAATCAAATTTAATTATTATTTTTTGAGTTTTATTTTAAAATGCATATGATAACAGTTATAAGAGGATTTTTATTTTTTTTATGATAACTGTTACGGTCCCTGATTAAAATAAGTTACAGTGATTTACAAAAACAAATTATACAATAAAATAAAATATGTAATTAAATGTGTATTTCAAAATACGCTGATAATATTGTACGACAAAAATGAAGTTCTTTTCTCTTTATGGATTTTGCAACGGTTTCAGATTAATATTGGTAAGCTGAACTCAAATTTCAAACTGGTTTTTCTCCTAAATATTTGGATCTTTGGTAAAAAAAACGGTTAGAGTTCAAAAATTGAAGCTTCAAAGGGTCACAAACAACTTTCATTTTTAGAGACATAAATTTTATGTCCTTAGTAAGTTCGCTAAGAATGTATAAATGAACAATTTTGTCTTACACATTCTTCTTAAATAAGGAGGGGAATTTCTTTCAAAGAAGGAAGAAATTTTTAAAAATACCTATTTGTGTCAGCAAATGACGAGACTTTAGCAAAGGATGTCGGTGACAAGAATGTTTATCTATTGATTCATAGCACGTTCACTTGCTAGTTGTGAAGACACTTGTAGTTTTTAATTAAAAAATTTTTTATTAACACTTTTAAACTTCGTTTTTTTAACTTGAACCCGTTATTGAGAGATACCCAGAAATTTAGCAAAAAAATTAATTGCGGATATGAGCTCAACAGTCTAAAATCAATCTCAACTTAATGTTATTGAAAAATCTAAAAAATAGATTTAGTGTCGCACAATATAACCTAACGTTACCTAATAATTAATTAATAATTAATTAATGAAAAATTAACGTACATGTAAACATACTTAACTTTGCTATATTTTACCGTAATTACCAACTTTATCCAATTAATATGAACTTCTTTTTGTGCTACAAGACATATGTTACTAGATTTCTAGTAAGTTCTACTCTACTTTTTTTTTAAGAATAATGTCTTTATTTATCGTTCGTTTTATTACATTACTGGTATTACTGAAATTAATAAATTCTCAGTAGCCAGTATTCAGAAAAAGTGCATCTGCTTATATCAAAAATGGCATTAAATGGATTAGGTTAGATTAGGTTTCAAAACGAATCTAGTCTCATGTAGAGTTTCTATGGGCCCGCATCATTGATTAAGTCTTATATAAAAATAAGCTCAAAAAATTTTAAAAAATATAAACAGTTTTTTTTTTGATAAACTTGACTTGGTTTTTTCTAATCATTAAAAATCTTTTTCATAAAGCCTTTAAAGGGTATGTCGAAGTCTCCTAAACTGACTGCTTAATATTCATTGCTTTTTTATTTATTTGATGGTATTTGACAAATGCAGTTCACATTTGAACTTTCAGTGAACCATAAGAAAGCAGCAGATTTTCATTGCAAAAGAATTAGTTCTGGAACTGGCACTACAGCCTCTAATTTTGAAAGTATATTGAAATAATTTTACTTTTATGTAAAATTCAATTCAGATGAAATTTTTAAATTGTCGGGGCAAAGCAGAGACCTTTTAGAGTCAGATGGATAGTGAAATTTAATTTAATAAAAAAGAGGGAAAAAAGGTTTTTAAAAATCAAAATTACTAAAACTCTACAACATTGCATACTATAAATCTGAAGTGGCACTCTATACTTATCGTGCTGACATATGATTTTACGTAAACTGAAGAGTATGTTCCATCGGCTTATGCCCTTATACAGATTTACAACAAATGCATTCCCATACACAGCTAGGATGTCAATAGGAGCGCAACACTCGTGTCTCCAATGAACAATAATTTGTGAGAATAGAAAACACTTACAAAATGGAATTTGTTGCACTCAGCGGCCGATGCATGCGATGAACAACCACTGTCGAAGGTTTATTTGAGCGTCGCATCGACATGCGACGTAAAAATTGCTGAAATCCACCATCAGACCTCGATGATTTGACTAAATCTGCTACTATGGCAGCATCTGATGCAGGCGTTGTTGTTGCTGTCGATGCATTGATATATTGTTGTTGTTGTTGTTGTTGTTGTTCTTGTTGCTGCTTCTGTTTTAGCTGATGTTGCTGATATTTATGTTGTTGTTGATGTTCTTTATGTTTAACTGTTGTTAAAAATGTGCTTGGTGATGATATGTTGCGTGCAACTGGCGGATGTTGCATTTTAGTAGCAGCAACACTTTGTGGTTGCCATGACTGTACTCGCATGTGAGGGCCTGTTATCACCTCATTGGTACTAATGCTGTCGTTGCAATCCGTTGTGCTAACATTGCTGCTATTGTTACTAACATAACTTGTCGCACTGCTACAACTTGTGGTTAATACACTACGTCGCATTTCTAACGAATTGTTGCTGATGCCGCTGAGACGGCTGGAAGCTCGAGAGCTAATGCGTCGATGTGTTCCGCGACGACGTCTTCGCATAATGACATCCTCCGTTTGGCATTCATCAATTGGTAACGGTACATCGTAGATGAGATGTCTGGAACCATATACGCTCGAACGTTTACGTACAAGTGAGAAACTACCCAGGGACTGTGAACAGCGCAGAGCATTTTTCGAGGGTAATGACTGCAATACAATTTGAGAATAAAATAAATATGAAAATATTAAGCACATAAACATGTTAGGAAATTTATAAGCTCGTAAATACATGGCAAGATTTTGTGGTCGGCTACTTAATTTTTTCAATTGGTGCACAATTTTTAAGTCATTACACAAAAAAATACAAAAACTTCATAGCAACATGGATATGATTTCACATGTCTTGCCAAAAAATTATGCCAATCCTTTTGCAGTTTAAAACAAAATTAACATATGCAACATGTCTAGACGTTAGCAAGTTAAAAGCTAAATTTGTGAAGTCATGCGAACAGAAGGATGCCAAATGTAACGAAAAAATTAAATCCTTGATACTAAAATATAAATTCTCTTTAAATGAAATTGATATAGGTTAAATTTAAATTGAATTCATTTCAACAAAATAACTTGGAAAGGCTTGGAAAATCAAGCCATTGAGCACATCAAAAAATTTTATCTACCATATATACTGATTAATTTTTAGAAAATAAATTAAAATTTATATAATTTATTTTTATATTCACAAAAGTAAATTATTGCAAGGAATAATATTTAAGAGCTGTTTACAATTTTGAAAAGTTGGGTATGCTGGTTATGGGGCATTTAAAATATAAAGTCGCCAACATCACCTCACAAAAATGTTATAATCTTAAGAATTGAACAAGTTTTTATACAAAATGTATACACAAAACGTAGTTATGTTGTAGCTATTTTATTAGACATAATTAATCTTAAGAAAATATGATTATTTTATTATTATTGCTTTAAATGCTTAAACTTAAGGAACAAATGTTTTTCTTTTTCCAAGCAATTATAAAATGAACTTAATTATTTTGTCAACTTCCACGATTTTTTTATTTTAATTTAAAAACCGAAATTTTGTCCCATCGCAAACGTTGACAAACTGCAACAGTAAATAAGTCGTTAATTGTTCATTTCCGATTTCGTAATTACTTTAATTAAAACTCAACAAGTTGTAAACAAACAACAACAATTTAATGCACTTAACTTCCACAAATACGCAGGACTCTTGTAAAACAATTAAATTATAGCTGAACAAATTATATGAATCCAACTCAATAAGATGAAGTTCTATATATATAGTTCTTCGCAAACACAAATATCATAAATACAGTGAAAATAAAAACATACCGCAGGCAAAATGTCCTCATTTTCCGTAGCTACATCAGCCATGTCCATTTCCGCTTCAATATCATCGCCAACAGATTTTGCTTCCACGGCCGAAATCGAACGCTGCAGACCCAATTTACTAACATTCTTAAATAACTTCCAACGTTCACGGGCAGTGCGTCCAACAACAGTACTGCTAAAAATATGCACAAAGAAAATATATTAAAAAAATTATTTTTAAAGTACAACAGAAAAAACTGGCAGACAAAGCAAGGCACGGCAAGGCCCGGCAAGGCAAAATGGTGGGCATATAATTTCTAGTGAAATTTAGCTTTGATGAAATGCGTAAGATATGCGCTGTGACAAGGACTCAGCAGACAGCGTAGCAAATGTCACAAATAGTGTTGGTGACATAATTAAAAGACAGCTGGTGGCTTTCGGAACAGTTCATTATTGACAAGTACCGTGGGATGCATAATGACCCGACTACACATTGCCTGATTATAATGCGGGATATTTGATTGCTTTATTCGCATGCGAGTGTTTAACATTTCAAGGATTATGTGCTTCATTATGCTTTGTTTAATGCCATCATTTCTCCTTTGCATTCACATAAAATATTTGAATAAAGTTATCAAAAGCAGTTAATTACAGCAATTAAACTTGAATGCTTCCTCCACATTAAAATGTATATTGGAAATAGGTGGGATATTATGAATGGACTTAGTGTGCAATACTTGAATATCTTGTCCGCCTTGTGGTTAACTGCAATTAAATATTTTCTAATCATATGATTTATAGTAAACTTAAACTTGAATCATATCAATTTATATAGTTATATTATTGCTTACTATAAACTTGGTTAATGGACACATATTTAATATTCAAAATAAGGAATATCGATAAAGTTCCATTCTCTCAAGTATATGTTTATAAGTTGCAAGTTATTTAAAATTGACGTTTTTGAAAACAAAGTTAAAACTGGAAATCTTAGAAAACAATCTTAGTAAATTAAATTAGGACCTCTTTTTAGAAATTTGAAAATCATTCCTTGATTTCACTCGTGATAAAAATAAAGTGTTTTTTCTCCTTCTATTAAACAGCTGAGCGAGTAGTTTATCTCCTAGACATTTAGGTCTCTGACAATTACGGGCTGAAATTCAAAAAATGAGGTTTCAAAGAATTAATAATAAATTTTTGTTTTAAGAAACCCAAATCTCGTAGTTCGGCTAACTTAGTATGAGAAAATAGATAAATAAAATTTTTAAAATTTCATCTCTTTACTGTCAGAAATGCAGATGTCTAGGAAGAAAACGAGTTACAGATTTAATTTCAACAGCATTTACCTAACCTGAAATCATAGAATAATCGAAAAATGGAGTTATAGAACTAATAATAAACTTAGTATAATGAAATTAAGAACACCTCACAGAAATTTTCAACAAATTTAGAGCTTTGCGTTAAAGACAACGTGTGCTTACGCGTTGGATTCCAATTATAGAAGCTGGTGAATTTAATTCTAATATTTAAATTTAAAATTGCATTAAATAAAAGTGAAAATCATAAATCTAAAATAAAAAAAGAAAAACACAATTTGTAATCCACTTACCTTTGCTGTTCCTTTTCCCTGGCTTTTGCAACTATGGAATTCCACTTGGCAATAATGTGTGGATATTTCAGTTCGATGTCTTTATAACTTCCGGCTGCTTGCAGGTGACAATCCTTCATAACAATCAACTGATAAGGACGAGGTTAAAAAGTATAAACAGGTTGGAGAAGATAAATTCCAAAATCCAAATATGAAACAAAACGAAGTAAAACAAAATAACAAGAAAATGTTTTCAATTCGAAAACGTGTAGCGCATTGCGTTCGGTTACTCAAACATGGAAGAGACACTCAAAAAGTATGAAAGGATAATACCGGAAATGAAAACAATTATAAAAAATGTCGCTTATGGGCTTTAGGAATAAATGCAAGCCGAGTGTATGAATGAATTGAAATTGATAAAAAGTATATGAAAAGAAGAATGAAAGCCAATTGCAAAAATGGCTAAAAGCGATAATAAAGAATAAGTGACACATTCGATATCTGACATTCAATTTTAATTTAGTAGAGAAAAAATGAACAAACAGTTTGCATGTACAGCATATATCACCATGAATGCTAATAAAATTTGTTTACAAGGGGAGTGACTGTAACTGGGTGAAGAGAGAAATCAATTGAATTCGAGAAACCGCAACGTCACCACAGCGCTCTTCATACTTACATAAGCCGCCTGTTGGACCAAATTCAATTGTTGTGTCACCAAAATCACAGTTCGATTGCTTTTCAATAACATTTTCCTGATGCTTTGTTCGAAAATGTGCCGCGCAACTTCATTGTCCAAGGATGAAAATGGATCATCCTGCAACAAAATTGTTTGTTATTATTGACAATAGAAGAAAACATATGTCAAAAATTGTTAAATGAACGTTAAAGATCTGAGATATATAATAAAAAATTTTTGAATTAGACATTTTATAAAGACAAATTCAAAGAAATAGTAAAGAAACTGTAACAACAATCCATTGGTTTATAAATTTTTTAAAAACTGTATTTCAATTCGCTGGCAATAAATGCCAACATAATCGACGAATACTCGACGAGTATATACGAGTTCTGAGAATTGAATAAAAATACACAAATTCGCTGTGTAAAATAAAAATCACCGTGATATCTAGATCACGCGTTTATACATATGATTTTGATGCTGGTCTGCTCCTTTTTGAAGCAGAAGGTTTTAAGTTTTGATGTACTTACCATTATCACTACGTTAGCTGACGAATACAGTGCTCTTGCTATGGCCACACGCTGACGCTGGCCGCCGGACAAATTGATGCCACGTTCTCCAATTACAGTCATATCGCCTTGCGGCATCAATTCGATATCAGGTTTAAGTGCACATGCCTCCAATACAAAATCGTAACGTTTTGGACGGAAAGATTCTCCAAATGTAATATTCTCACGTATACTTGTATTTAATAGCCAAGGTAGTTGTGGAACAAATGCAATTGTGGATGTTCTTAAATTAAGTATAAAAATATTTGTTTTAAATTTTTAATTCATGTTAGATAATTGCCATTACATGACTACAAATATTGTATTGTAGGTAAATAAAAGATGTTTCTTTTCGAAATTTATAAACTTCAATAATGATTCTTTGATTCAGTGAATGAAATAAAAATTTTATGGAAAGAGAGTTCATCCCCAGTATATACTGACAGACAAATTGTTGAAGAAAAGAAATTGTGAAAATATTTTTAATGATTATTCCATCAATATCTGTGACTTTATCGTAAGAGTTTTGACAATAATTTGTCTACCTGAGTACCAATCATGAGACCTTTATGTTAGATTGTTTAACCCATTTCGGATCAACGTGTGGTACACCACACGGTTAGGTTTGAATATTTTTTATCTACAAAGAATATTTTATGTTTTTTAGGTAAAGATAAAACGAAAATAATCTTTTAAATAAATATTAAACACTTCTGATTTGCTTAAGCTTGTGTTATTGTACTAGTTACTATGGAAATTTCACCGTAAAAATTCAAGTTTCAATTGGCCTGATTCTTAATGCGTTAATAGATGGATGCATAACTAAGAAGAAACTTAAGTCACTTAACGCATTGGTACAGAGATCTCAGTAAAAAAGGATTTCATTGATGTTTTGATTAGGTTTATTATTTATCTAGTGAAGATTGTTTAAATACAATAGAGTCAATAGTAACTAACCATTACTCGCTGTCTACGCTATATTTTTCTACAAATGCTTATTACTTTTAAATTTTACTTGCAAAGAAATATTTATATGTTATTGAAGAACTGAAAATTATTGCAAAAATCTTGCCAAAACTCAAGCTAATTGAGATACAGAACTTAAAATAAAAAATATATTAACTTTGCATCTATCTGCCTACTGTTCAACAATGATATTTATTATATAGTAAGTGTTTTTCAGGAACATTATGTGGGGTTAGGATTTGGTTTCTTGGTCAAAAAATCTAAACAATCGAGCACAATTTTTTCAAGAGTCTAAAATGGCAACAAAAATGCCATATTTCAAACTTTCCACAAAATTTCATGAAATAGCTTTGTGCAAATCTGATGTGAACAGCTGTTTTTGAATAAATTAAGCAAATTGAAGCAATAAGTCCTAACGTATTAAAAATTGCTCACTTATTTGTGAAGGTTCATACATATGGACCTTCATGTACCTCTAGTCAAAGACGAGCTAGCCCTCCTACGGCAAAAATATGACACTAAAATAATGGTACATCCAAACTCACTCGCTCAATATCTTACCAGAACAAGAAACATATCCCGTCTTAAAAGATCAGATCAAGATCAATTATTATTAAAAATCAATAGTTAAGAATCTTACGTTTTAAACAAGGAAAGTTTAGATAGTGATATAAACTTTGAATGAATATTTTTAGTAATTATTGTTAGACTTTTTAAGTGATTCAATAAATAAAAGAAAAGAAGAAAAAAAAACTTATTTGTTGTTTCAAATCATTTCATACTCATTTAATTCGAGATTTGATGCCATTTTACATATTACAACCTTTAGTTAGATAATAAATTCAAATTCAAAGCAAAACAGTTGATTTATACATCAACACAAATTTTGCTAGGAAGAAAATATGCGAGTAAAAATTGTTAATCGGTTTATTATTCCGACAGGGATGTTACGCTAGCGCAGGTGCTATCTTTTACTCGTAGATTTGCTGGTGGAACGCAATAGTGTATACTCCTAGTTACTCGAAGTTGCTAAGAGTACTTCGAGTAACTACACAGCAATTGTTTTATGAACTTGATAAGAAACTACAAATTTTCTTCCTATGGTGCATTGTTTTCCTCTTATCGGAACAACAATACTAATTTCAATTTCTTGAAATTGATCACTGAGAGTGTAATTCTTTTGCATAATTCGTGTTTTCAAATTCTACACTATGTATGTCTTGAAGAAATTAAATATAACTTCACTTGACATATTTTTCATATCATAAAAAGGTTTTTAAAATGTGTCTTGTATCATATATGCAAAAAGATATCAAAGGTATATAAAATAAAAGGTATTTATCGCTTTATTATTTCTCGAAATATTCTTTCAAGAAGATTGAAACATTTTCAATCTTCTGCAGACACTTCCAAAACATGGCTTTTAACAACAGATACTTCGTACAACAATGGATTCTTCTGCCGACAAAATCGTTGTCCACTCAATTTATTCTTGACGTTCGGAAATAAGAAAAAATGATTGGGTGCCAAATCAGAACTGTACAGCCATCAGGACGATACATAGATTTTTTGAATGCCAGTTTTTAGATGAAATGTGTGAGCACTCGCATTATCTTGATGGTGATGGCAAATTATCCGATGTCGCTTGCTTGTTTTTCGTATATCACTGAAGACTTCCGGTAATCAAACGGTTGTATACGAAATAAACCATTTTGCGTTTCTGTAATGGTATCCGTATAGTTGCCACATGACCAGTTTTCTCGAAAAAACAAGCGATCATTCGTATCGAAGTACTTCGAGTGCGAACAACTTTTGGTGGATTTGGTTCATCTTGAAACACCCATACAAGCGACAGTCTGCTGTTTATGTTTCGGCTCAAACACATATATCCATAATTCGCCACCTGATACAATTCTACACTTATATACATCTTTTGAAACACCGCCATTGTACTTCTTGAGCATTTCTGTGCACGGTGCACCAATCGACACAAGCACCTTTTGAGATTTTGTCAAATGTTTTTGCCCAGCCTCAAAGTTTTGTCACACAACAACTGATCAACTGATTTTGAACGACCTTCATGAGTTTCGTAAATTTCGTCAGTGATCGAACTGCACGATTAAAATGAACGTTGAATAGTGGGAACGTTTCACAGTGACAAAGGATGGAGCTTACTTTACATCGCCAAATGTGGAAGTAATTTGATTGATGCACTCTTGTCTTGATACTCGTAATCCCCGTCGAAGGTCGTAATAAACTATCGCACGAAAATGCACTCGTGTTAATTCCATTTTTGCGCGAAGGCTCAATTTACAAATCACTGTAAATAACACAAATAATGTTCTTTTGACAAAAAGTCTAAGATAGGTTATGTTTAATAATATCAAAAGACACAAAAAACAATCTGCTCCCCACACATCAAGTCAGTTATTTTCTTTATGTTAACGTACAATAAGATAAATTAAATTGTTCGAAGCTCGCATAAATTTCTTGCTGTATATTTGCATACGTGCTAGCTACTCGGAAAGACATGCTGGAAGCCAATGAAATATTCGGCTCAATTGTTGTTTTGAAATTCAAATTGGAGCCGACATTGAAAAATAGAATTTAACCTTTCGACATTTGGCACACAAATAGGTGCACAGAGCCATGTGGATTCGCAGTCATGCCTCCGGTGCAATGGTTCCATTACAATTGCAGCAAAAATAATAATAATAATAACGCAGAAAAATACTCGTACTAACAAATAATGTTTGTGTTGTGGCACAGCAGCAACAATGCATGTTTTAAATTAAAATTATAAATTCCAATTTAAAGTTATTGCTTTTCAAAAGCAGATGCAAGTCAGTAATTAACTGCATAGAACGCAGCAATATAGTTAAACAATACACAAGCACACCGACTCGTAAAGATCAGGACCCAAATTTAAACTGGCTAACAAATGTACGAGTGAAAGCTCAAGTATGTATCACACACATCGTTTGTAATATTTTCTGCAAAACTATTATTTTAATTTTACAAATATTCTGTAAAAATAATATTAAAAATTTTTTCAAAATTTTAAATTTCAATATTATATATATATATATATATATATATATATATATATATATAGATAAAGCAACCGCAGCGCCAAACAAAGAAAGTGCAATAAAATTAAATAAAAGCATATAATAATAAATGTGAATGAAACGTCTGTACACAGCTTACAGGTGTTTAAACTGGGAAATATGTGGCATCACTTGAAAAACTCAAACTTTGAATTCATTCTAACAAAAGAGCAGAAAGCATAACCTCTATGTGACAGAACCAGCTGTAAACTAGAACAAACACAGGAAAAAATGGTTATAGAGTAAATACAATGACTTGAAAATAGTAGCATGGAATGCACACGGTATCAGTAGACATGTCAATGAATTGCAAACATTTCTGTGCTCAAACTCGATCGACATACTATTAACCTACATTAAACAAAACATGTATATTCTACAGAGTTAATTCATGAAAATAAATGAAATAAAATTATTTAATAATACTTGAAGAGAAAAAATCCAAGTATGCGACGGTAGAATTGCAAGCAAGGAGATAACAACTAATGAACACACTTAAATTCAAATTGACTAATCTGCTCACAACAAAGTACTTCTCATAGTCATATGACTCATAGTCATATCTATATATATGTGCCATATATAGAGATCACCACTTCTGCCAATGTATTTGTTGATGCCGTGAATACATCAACAACTATTACTATTGCTTACATCAACTACTAGTAGGAAAGTTATATATACTGATTTAGTTTTCGAAAGGCCTTACTACATCTTTAGAGCTATCGAGTTCAGAAAATACCTCTACCTTTAAAGCCTCAAAAAAAAAACAGCAATTTATGACAGCTGCTGGTGTTGTCATATTCAAGTTAAGTCAGGCATAGAACCGGTCTACCAAACGTTCCGCCATTGGTTCTTAGCATCTACTATTTGGATGATATAAAACAATGTAGTAAGCAATTGTTTATCATACATCCTTCTATTCTTGAAGTTTGACCGCAGTGCAGGTCAACACCATAATAATTTTCCACATGTTCAATGATTCCTGAGCTAACAGATCTAAGTCCAATTGAAGTATAGTTCCATATCAGTAAGGTCACCAGACTCTGTTTGTTTGACAGCGCACCATCCTCATTGAATAATTTGACATTGTTTTAATTCCTTCCATATAAACCCATTCCTCAATATAAACAACTAATTAACATGATAGTTCAAATACGCTTTACAT